CTCGATCCCAGGACCCTGGGATCATGACCTGAAGGCAGACGTTTAACCAACTGAGCCACCCAGGTGCCCTGTTTTATTCTATTTTTTTTAAGATTTTATTTATTTATTTGAGAGAGAGAGAGAGAGTATGAGTGGTGGGAAGGGCAGAGGGAGAGGGAGAAGCAGACTCCCCGCTGAGCAGAGAGCCTGATGCAAGGCTTGATCCCAGGACCCTGAGATCAGGACTTGACTGAAATCAAGTTGGATGCTTAACTGACTGAGCCACCCAGGCACCCCTGAAGGTGGATTTTAAATGCAAATAGCCTGAGATAATTCTAAAGCCGTAAACAATAAGAAGAGAAAGCACATAGTAGCTATGTCCTAATTCCTCGCTCTTCACTTCCATTTTAGGCAGAGATGAAAGAAGGAACAAAATTGAAAACTTATTTCTTTGAAGCTTATTTATTGAAAATTTATTCCGAAATCATGTTGCCTCTGTCAACTGAAGATATTGAGTAGGCAGCTCAAGGCTCCTCTTCCCTTTATGGGGGAGGTAGATTCAGAGGGAAAACACTGTTCCTGAAACTTTTGAAATGCCCATTTCATTTGATAACCAGCAAGATCTACTCTTATAGATGATAGATAGATAGATAGATAGATAGATAGATAGATAGATAGATAGACAGAAATGGATATAAATATATTCTAAGGGATTTTAAAGGAAGGTGGGGACTTTACATTCTAAATCACCTCCAGTGTCACAGTACGAGAAGACAAGATACAACAGCAGTCCCTGTTAGGAGTGCCTGACCTTAGATGCGTCAGGAATATGACCTGAATCTAATCCTTAGCTTTACAGAAGAAGAAATTCAGATTTTTCCAGAATCATCCAGAGCCTCTGGGAAAAGTGACAGATGTTGAATATAGGAAACAGTATAGACTAGTCAGCTATTTCCCTTACGATGGAGACCAATGATTTCTAGAGATGAGAGCTTGACAGAGGATCCTGATAGCAAATATGAGTATTTTTTGCCTCCAGAGTATTTTCAGAGTATTTATATGTCCTCAAGTTAAGATTATCATATCAAAGAGTCTATTTACCCAGCTTGAGCACTTACCAAACATGTACCTTTGAGGAAGTTAAATTCTCTGTGCCTCAGTTTTATCATCTCTAAAGTGGAGATAATGTGTAGCTACCTCAGAGACTGTGAGAATGTAGGCAAAGCATTCGCAATCAGCATTAGTTGCTAGTTGTATGTAGTAAGAGCTTGATTAATAGTAACATACAGTTATTTTAAATTTTGTACTTATTTCCAATTGAAGTTTCTCGAAAACAATTTAATGTTCAGTCTCCCCAAAACCTTGGGGGAACTGAGGCAGCTCAGCTTCTTAGCAAATCTAGTTTACCTCTCCACTTCCTCCTCTTTTCCTAAATGGTGTTCTCCATGCTACAGTTTCTCTTCAGAAAAAAAGTCCTATTTATGGTCAGAGACATCCTATCTTGTCTTTTCTCTGAGATAGTACCCTACATAGGTTTTAAGTGACCAGAGTATTTTTTCCATATCATGTTAAGGTTGTACAATGTTCCCATCTGTAATTCTCCAAGTTAAGATCTTCCTCTTAGGTCCTGGGCTAGGGTGATGAGCCTTGGTTTTATTCTCCATGCACCTGTTTCTGAGACACCAGTGCCCTTTTGTCATCAAATCTGATGTCAGCATCTTGGTCTTTTATTTAAGGCAACACATCTGCATGGTCAGGTACAGTCCTTGGGCCTTTCCTATCCACTTCCCATCAGAACACTACATAAATGAGGTGAATCTTTTATCTAGGCCACCTTTTTGATCCAGGAATCTCATCTCTGGGGATTTATACATACCAAAGAAAGAAAAGGCTGTATGCCTATGTGCCTGGCTCAATTTCGATAGTGTAAAATTATAATCTCCTGGAATATTATGCTGCAAAAACCTTGAAATCTCAGGTGGACGATACTAAGCAGGCATTTCTCACATATGCATCTGTAGGTCAGCTGGGTTTTGGCTAACCTAGTCAGGATCGGTCGAACTTGGCTTCAGGCTGAGAGCTGAGTGCAAGCCCGTTTCACGTCTGTCACTCATCAGTGACTGGTGGGCTGCCTGAGACCTATCTTTGCATGGCAGGAACAGAAGCCCGGAGAACAGGCGTACTGCTGAAATGGTAAAGCATCTGTGCACATCACAACTGACATTTCATCAGCCAAATAAAGTCACATGGCCACGCCCACATCACGGGGTGGGGTGGGGATATCCTCCCACTCTAATATTAGGAACTACAAAGAGTATAGCACGGAGAGTGATGAAGTATTAGGAACAATAATGCAATCTACAACAATGCTTCACAAAAAGGTTCAATGGAGAAAATGCACACAGGATATAAAATTGTATAACTTGATCATTTTTTGTATATCAATGAAGAATGGAAATAAATAAGCAAAAATAAAAAAAAGGTATGCCTGGATAACATAAGAACTTTTAATTTTGTCTTTGTCCATTTCTTAAACTTACACAATAGAATTATATACCACCCTTCTTTTTTAAAGTAAGTTTTAGATGCTTATAACAGTAAGTTATTTCATCAAACGAATTGTTTTATGCAGTATATTAAGAGTCTGTAGAAAAGTAGATTTCTAAGTCAATTATTCTCAGTCCCCACCAGTTCCAACTCTCAAACTCAAATCTAATGAACTTCCAGCAACATGGACCTTTAATTTTACCCCTTGCCTAAAAACAGTTTAAATTCCTTCATTCTCTTATTCTTCATTGTTTCAGTGCTGATTATTCTCCACACTGACTTCTTTGAAGGCTCCAAAATTAGATATCCACATCAGTGAATAGAGGCATTGTCCCTAGCAGATTCTGATTTTCTGAAAGCAGCAAGTCCATTCAACAAATAATTACTGAGGACTCACCATATTTGAGGCACTGCACTAGTAGCATTTGGGGAAATAAAAATGTATAAGTGACCATCCTTACTCTCAAGGTCTGATGGGAAGAGAAATATGTGTATACATCTATTTGAGGACAAAAAGAACAGACTTGGGCTCAATAGTTCTCAACCTGGTGGTATATTAGAATCATCTGGATGACTTTTAATAAATATAGTTGCTCAAGCTGATGCCCAGAGATGCTTATTTAATTGGTTGACTGTTTGGTCTGATCACTGGGTTTTTTTTTGTTTGTTTAAGTAGGCTCCACACCCAGTGTGGAGCCCAACACAGGGCTTTAAATGACGACCCTGAGATCCAGACCTGAGCTGAAATCAAGAGTCAGGCGCTCAGTCAACTGTACCATCTGCACCACCCCCACACCCCAGATCACAGGTATTTTTTTAAAGCCTCTGTGCCATAGGGCAGATGATTTTAATGAGTAGCCAGGGTTGAGAACCACTGAGTTAGGCTTTCTACTTTATGCCAAACTGAGCTGTTGGAGGAGACTAAGAACTGATAGACCCTCCAATTCGATACATAAAACAATTCTTTTAAAAATGAATTATTTCATCAAATTATATAACATATACATATTGTTTTAAAAAGTTGAATGGTACTGAGGCTTATGACTAAAATATAGCAATTCCCTGTTTTCTTTCTTTCTTTTTTTTCTAAGATTTTATTTATTTATTTGACAGAGGGAGACACAGTGAGAGAGGGAACACAAGCAGGGGGAGTGGGAGAGGGAGAAGCAGGCTTCCCGCAGAGCAGGGAGCCCGATGCGGGGCTCGATCCCAGGACCCTGGGATCACGACCTGAGCCGAAGGCAGACGCTTAACGACTGAGCCACCCAGGGGCCCCTGTTTTCTATTCCCCTAATCCCTCTCCACTTTTGACTCTTTATTTTTAGAGAATTCACACATCTCCCATTATCCAAATGTTCATGCACTGGTATCTTTCCTTCATCAGAAGCTAATTAATTGTTGAACTTTATTTCTCCCACCCAAAGTACTCCCAAAACCCCAAGGAAAGGTACAAAGGAGGAAATGTCAAGTAATTGAAGCAGCAAGAGTCAGGGGACAAGTTCTTCTGTTCAATCCATTCGCCAAGACAGCTGGCCCATAGGTTCAGACTGGCCTATCTGGTGGCCTGGGCAATTAAAAAGGCTGCTAGGAATGCTTTTCCAAGCCCTGCCTGCTCTCCCACCCCTTGGAAAGCTGATAGGTTTTATCTGAAATTATAGCCAGAGGACTACTTCCACACTCTCTTTTGCATTCATGCCTCTCCAGTATCAATAAGGTTGTCCTAAACCTTTCCAGAATTAAAAACAATCTGGAAATCAGAGTATTTCCAAAGCAACGTAACAATCATTACAGACAGGACAGTGAGATTGTGTTGAAGAGCAAGCACAGCATTGGCTTCGCTATTTGGGGAGCTGACTAGAGAAAGGGAACTTTGATTTTTATTTCTATTTCCCATACATTGGAAAGAAGACGTGATAGGAAGATATTGCAAAGATCTGATGATGCCAACAGCTACTTCTCTGGCACAATTCAGAATGAGTTTGGCACTATCATCAGAAGTCTTTTAAGCCACAGAATGGCTGCAAAAGGGGAGACCAAATTTAAGGTAGGGGGTGGTGAAAGTTTACTTGAGGAGTTGGGCATTTGAACAAGGACTTGACTGGCAAGCAAGGATTTCAGCAGGTAGCGGGGCAGACAAGAGTTTGAAGGCTGATAAGAGAGCACAGCAAGTAGCCAGGAGTGTGTACAGGGGTGGGGGGGTGTGTAGGTGGTAGAGTTGCCTTCCAGGCTCCCTGGAAACTCAGAATTAGAGTAACATTAACACCAAATCATAACAGAAGAGCTCAGGGATGCGCAAAGGCCTCTTAGAGACAGACCACTTCCCAGGCCAGCAGCAGAGTATAAGCACTTTTGAGCCTATGTGAATGTATCAACAGGTGGAGAATGAATGGGAGCAAAATGTGTGTGTGTGTGTGTGCGTGTGTGTGTGTGTGTGTGTGTGCGTGTGTGTGTGTGTGTGTGTGTGTTGAGAGGAGTGAGGAAGAAGGCTGGTGGTCAACCTGGAAAGTTTAGAAACTAGGAGAGAAGAGCAATTTCAGCTGAGGCAGAGGATATGGAATACCTAGTCACCCTTTGCCTTCTAAACTTGCTTTATTTTGTAAACCTGACCTGTCTAGTTCTTGTGGTCAAAATATTCCTATTTTAGAGATGATCGCAATAGTCTAACAATGCTTTGAGTCTTCATTCATTTGAATGAGATTACCATCGCTGCAAAGCTATGCTTATATAATTTGGCCTCCTGTGTTACTAGTGAATATGCTGATTAGCAAAAGCTTCTGGCCCACCTATTACTACAATCCTCACTGTAAATTAGCAGAGTGAGATTTTCATCTGCGCATTGGTCTTTTGTGAGCTTGATTAGCAGAAATCCATCCCCAAGAGATTAAGCCATACTTAGCACAAAGAGGAAATCAAGTTCTAGGCCCATTAAGCTTGAGACCCATAGCCAGTAGGAGGTGCTAACCAAGGTGTTGCCCTTCAGATACCCCAAGTTAGTAGCCGGGAAGTCATCCTACCTACCACTCCCAACATACGCCAGCAAGGTTGGGGTGCCTTAGACATCCTGGGAGAGGAGATAGAACAAAGGATGTGTTAGGGGAGTAAGTCAGGGTGTAGCATGCAAAGCCTTGGAAATTGGTTTGGCTTGAAGACTTTGGGGACTCACTGCAGATACATTGGCAGGGGATGTCACACACTCCGTTCTCTATCGAAGGGGAACCTCTGGTCCCTGAAAGATGGACTGGACTAGGAAAACCAGAGGCTCAATCAATCTGCTAGGATTTTACAGGGAAGAGAACAGTGACAGCACATAGAAGGGAAGGGTCACTCCCGAAAGACATTTCTGTGGCTCCACGCCATACTTACTGTGCCTTGATCTCCCCACTGATAATACGTGAAAAGGTGCCTGGGAGAAGGGACTCTGCTCTTTCTGGCTGACTATTGTTAAAATAATTTTCAGAAAGCTGCCCTCTTTTCATAGAGCAGGTAAAGATGTTTAATGGCTCGTGAGGCAAAGCAGAGCTTATGAGCTTCTTCTGACAGGGCGCATTCTGGACTAAGCCCAAATACAATATTCCTCTCCAGACCTGAAAACTGCTGAATACTGTCGAAAATGATGCGACTGCCCCAAACACCAGAGGCCTGGCTGAACGCAACCTTTGTTGCTCCATGGGCTTCAAATAATTCCATTGCTTTTAGCAGGGCAAGTTCGTAGCGTCCTCTGTCCTCCCCTTTCCTGCACAGAATTGCAATGTCTTTGGGCCGATAGCCACATTGGAACAGGTCGTAACACCTTTCTGCCACCCGTTTTACAATCTGTTCCATAGTCAGGTTAGTCTCAGTCTCACACACCCCAGGCAGGGCCTGGGCACACATTGCTTCCTCGTAGGCAGCTTCCCTGAACAAGGACAGTGTGTCTAGGGACATGCTGGAGGGTGGATTGGCTTTGATCCTCTTCATTTCTTCTTTCATGACCATTGCTATTTCTAGAGCACAGTGGATCCCATTGGTGATTGTCTTTCGAGGAAACTGAGCAGATGGAGGTGGGAGGCCATTAATATCTGCATGACGGACTTGGAAAGGGTCCAGAAAAATCCAGAGAATCCCACGATGAAGGTTTTCACTTCCAGCTCCCCTCACCTTTGGATGCGTGATGCTCTTGGCCTTCAAGTACCAGTCTCCATATTTGCTGCAGAAATTCTCAGTCTCATCCATCACTATATGCTTAATCTTTAGGAACTCCCCTTGTAAGAAGGTCTTCCGGGTCACAGCTTGACAGGTGGTTTGTTGGCTGTAAGGATGCCAGAGAGAATAAGGTTTCAGGCATGTAAGCAAAGGGAATACCGTGTATTCATTCCTACGTGGATTGGAATCAGAGTCTAGTTCTCATCTAGAGGCTCGTTCACTGATTCAGTGGATTCATGAACACAACAAAACCATTCTACTTACAAGTGACCTGACAGAGGGAATAATACATAATTGCAAACCTTACTCTTTGGGGTTATCTAACTAAATCTGCATGTGAAACTTTTTGAAATGAACCCAGGTAGGAGATTTTATTTCTATTACTAGTCTATTTCTGCTGTTTGGCAAACCCTGAAGACAAGCTTATTACATGTAAAGGAAATCTCAAAAATAATTTATGCCTGTTACTACCATTACTTAACTTTCTGGCCTTTTTAGAACTGGAGAACAGGTCCCTAGAGACATAATTTTATGTGCAAAAGAGGTAGGAACTAGTACAAATTCCTCTAAAGCAAGTCCTATTTCCCCCACTTACTTGTAGTAAAAACCAAAGCCTCTCTAGATTTTTGTAAGGAAAACATCAGGAGGTTGCTGAGTTCTGGGACATGTCAAGAGGGTAACAAATCTACTGGGCTTTGCCTCTCTGGAACTGCTACCGTGTTTCCTTAGCTCAATTTTCCTTTAGAGTATGTTTCAGCATATTAGAGGAGACGGGAAATAACCATGTTTAATATATATATAATAAATATATATAAATTTATAAGTATATATAACCAAGTTTGTTAAAAAACTTATATATTTATATAACTTGGCTATATAACTTGGCTGTTTCTTGCCTCCTCTAATTTGGATCCAACTAATATCACTCATTCCTACAGATTTCCTGACTTTACATATACAGTCCTTGGGGTTTTACTCCCTATGCCTTGAATCACACCTACTCACGTTCTCTCCCAGTTTAGACTGTGTAGACTTCTTGAAGAGAAGCACTGTTCTTAGCCCCCTCCTCCTGGGCTTCAACAGATACTTGTTGAATCTGCATTTTGACTGGGATATTTTTAAACTTACCTGTAATGCATAGTCATTAGCACAGTTTATGAGATCCTCCACAATTTGGCATCTACCTCCTTTCCAACTTCATCACCTGCCACATTCCGCCCCACCCCACTGGCCTAGTCAGACCCACCATTCTGATTCTCTCATGTGCCTTTGCATTTGCTGTGTGCCCTTTGCTTAAAAAGCCCTCATTTTATCCACTTCTACTGACTTCTTAAGAGTATGCCCAAGGATCTCCTTCCCTAGTGACTATTTATTAACCAACCTCCAGCCTAAGTTAAGATAAGCATATCTTTATTATCATACTAATTGCACAACACTCACATTGCTTATTTTTTTCTTTGTCTCCTTTATTAGGCTTTATGGCCAGGTCTTCAATATGTTTTTCACCCACTAACACTAAATGTACACATTCTTAGCATATAAGTGGTACCCAGAAAAGATTTATTGAATAAATAGGTAAACCAAACCAAAAATTAAAACGCGTTTGCCCTCATTTGTTGGATTTGTATAACAGCCATTTCTTTTACTAAATTGAAAGGTGAAGATTTAAATCAGAGGCAGATTTGCATGTTTTCTGAAATTGTTGGTTCAGAAGAAGTCAAACGAATGAAAATATTTTCTAAACAAAATCATATGGTATTTAAATTCAAGCTCCTGTTAGGTATCATGTCTAATGAACTAAAATACTCTTTGACTTTAAAGCATTAAATATCAAGCAAAAAGTATATATAAAGCAAGATAAGTTTATTTCGTCTTTTCTTAAAGTGAAGGCCAGAGATTGTAGGGGAAAAAAAAATGTTTCTAGTTAGAGAAACGTAAGGTGATGTATAGTTGGCTAATTTGTAATGAGATGTTTAAGCCCGGGCATTGCAAAGTACCCATTTATAGCTCAACTACCTGATCATTTGGAAATGTGTATACAGTTTGGGGTCTCACATTTATGCAGCTAAGGCATTGCAAAGTCTTAAAACTAAAAACACAAATTAAACTTTTGTGATACTGGGGAAAAGACTGACTAAAAATATTTATTGTGTTGAGTTAGTGGAATTCTTACGTCACATAATCCTTTAAGGAGTCACTTTCACAAACATAAAGGATCTCTTTTGGTTTGCACTGGAACAAATCCTTAATTTTCTCCATGATCTTTATGGCCAGGGCTGTCTTCCTGGTTCCCGGAAAGCAGTGGATGAACAATTCTCGTGTCTCCTGAAGGCTCTCTGAAAGCAACTCACACTGCTCCTCTATGAGCAAGTTGAAAAATTCACAGCCCAGCTGGTCACTCAGAAGAGATCGAGAACCCAGTGAGACTACAATAAGGGCCTGCAACAAGTCTTCCATTTCATCCTTGGTGGCAAGCCTGTAGGACTGGGGGTAGTGCACGAGCATTTCACCAGTGCTCTGCTGTGTGCTGGGCAGGTACATCACCCTCGGGATAACACACACTTTCCCTGTGTAACCACCAAGCGTTCCCAGTTTCTGCTTTAACTGATGAGCAGTATTTTGCGCATACTCAAGCCCTCCATTCCAACCAGGGTTTATTAAGATTGTATAGAGTACCAGGGGACTGTTCACCGCTATGAGGAGAGCATCACACAGGACGTCCTGCTCTTTCCTTAAGCCAACATCACTAGCCCAGCTTCTAGAAAATATCACAATCCCCTGAGAACAAGGATATATCTGTGTCTTCATTAATTCCTCGAGTCCTTTATGATCTGAGAAGAGCTTCTTACAGAGGGATTCTGGTTTAAACTGTATCTCTTCCCATGTCACTGAAAATGCAAGAGACAGAAGTTACTAACTAAAATTTACAAAAGCATATTGTAAGTATTCCTGCAACATCAGAGGAAGAAATGAATCTAGCCATGGAACTGTGGGTTTCCTTGGGTACAAAGAAAGCACCCCCTCTTTATTTTGATGTAGTCCCAATAATTTGTTTTTGCTTTTGTTTCCCTTGCCTCAGGAGACATATCTAGAGAGATACAGTAACCACAAAACTGGGTATTTACCCGAAGAACACGAAAACGCTAATAGGAAGGGATATAGGCACCCCTGTTTATTGTAGCTTTACTTACAATAGCCAAACTATGAAAGCAGCCCAGGTCTCCACCGATAGATGAAGGGATAGAGATGTGGTACATATATACAATGGAATATTATTCGGCCATATAAAAGAATGAAACCTTGCCATTTGCAATGACATGGATCGATCTAGAGAGTATAATGCTAAGAGAGATAAGTCGGTCCAAGAAAGACAAATACCATATGATTTCACTCATATGTGGAATTTAAGAAACAAAACAAATGAACAAAGGAGGAAAAAAAGACATAAACCAAAAAATGGACTCTTAACTATAAATAATCAAATGGTTATCAGAGAGGAGGTGGGCGGGGGGGGAATGGATAAATTAGGTGAAGGGGATTAAGAGTACACTTATCTTGATGAGCACTGAGTAATATATGGAACTGCTGAATTACTGTATTGTATACCTGAAACTAATATAACATTGTATGTTAACTATAATGGAATTAAAATTAAAAATTAATTAATATTTTCTTAAAAAGAAAGTATCCCCTCTTCACAGGCCAGGACTCTGAAGTTCCCATTTCTGGCAGCTCTCGTACAGGGGAAGGCAGCAGGGAGGAGTCTGCACAGAAAAGCCTGCTAGCACCCCCTCCTCAACCGGAAGAGGTCCACTCCTGCGAGGAAGGTATTCCTTCCTGCTAAGGGTTTTTCTGTGTGTGTGTGTGAACCTGATGCTTTAGGGAAGTAAGAACTTGCCTTCAGAACATTGATTCTTAACCTGTGGCAATTTTGCCCCCTGGGGGGGCCTATGGCAATGTTTGGAATATTTTTTGTCATAGCTGGAGAGGTGCTACGGGCATCTATAGTGAGTAGAGGGCAGGAATGCTGCTTAACATCCAACAGTTCACAGGGCAGCCCCTCTTTTTTTTTCATTAAATTTTTTTTGTTATGTTAGTCACCATACATTACATCATTAGTTTTTGATGTAGTGTTCCATGATTCATTGTTTGCGCATATCACCCAGTGCTCCACGCAGAACGTGCCCTCTTTAATACCCATCACCAGGCTAACCCATCCCCCCACCCCCCTCCCCTCTAGAACCCTCAGTTTGTTTTTCAGAGTCCATCGTCTCTCATGGTTCGTCTCCCCCTCCGATTTAGTCCCCTTCATTCTTCCCCTCCAGGGCAGCCCCTCTCAACAAAGAACTGTCCAGCTCGAATGTCAATAGTGCTCAGTTTGAGAAGCTCTGCTTTAGGAAGAGTCCAGGTGACCCCATGGCTCACCTCCTTCTCATTGGAAAGCCTGGGGGCAGTTCTCTTATGGTATAGACTTAAGGAATTTAGATTAAATTCTCTCAAATTTGGAGAACAAAAGCCATATGTGACTGGAAACCCCAAAGCACACAAAAATGTAGTGTGGATACAACAACTGAGAAGCAAGGGTCATTATATTTATTATTTCAGGATCATTATGTCTGCTAAATCCTACATTTGACCTCCTCTAAGGAGAAAGCCTTGGACTAATTGCTACCAATTCCTCCCAACTTATTATTAATCAACTCTATGCCCAACGTGGGGCTCAAACTCACAACCCGGAGATCAAATCACAGGCTGTACCGACTGAGCCAGTCAGGTGCACCCCAAATGAATTTTAGAAAACAGTCCCTTCAGCTGAAATCAAGAGGGAATACCTGGAAACAGACGTTGTTGTAGAGGCCCCTTCAATTCCAGGACTTTAATGGGAGATGATGGGCTTCCCAGTGCTGATGGAGCTGGTGCACTCATGGGAAAGCTGGAGTCGGTGGTCAGACTGGAAGTTGCTAAGCAAATACACGGCACGTTGTTTCAGACAAAAAAGAAAACTCTTCTTTTTTTTTAAAGAGGGGGAGGAGAGAGAGAATCTTAAGCAGGCTCCACGCCCAGCACCGAGGCCCACACGGGGCTCAATCTCATAACCCTGAGATCATGACCTGAGCCGAAATCAAGAGTCAGACACTTAACCGACTCCACCCAGGTGCCCCAGAAAACTCGTTCTATTGCTTTTACTACTGTTGACATGATATGTGCATCGTGCCTGAGACACTCACACTTTCTATGCCTCAAACAGTTCACATAGGTTAGGAAAGGAAGCCTGGGGACTCCAGCAGGGTCACCCATCTTCTAAGTCACTGTGTGACTCATCTTGGGCAAGTCATTTATCTTCTCTCCGGTGCCAAAGTGAGCTGGTGACCCTTACATTTCCTTCTAACTCTGATATTCTGATTCCCAGTCATCCCTAAGAGGAAAGGCTTAGAGTGGGCGAGGGGGGCAGAATCAGAAAAAGTTAAGCACAGTATTTTTTTATATTGTTATAGTGTGTTTAAGCCCCCATTCAAGGTTTAGATGGAACAGAAAATGGTAGGGGTGTGTGTATATGAGAAAAGTAGTTTGGGGTGTGTGTATATGAGAAAAGTAAACTCCAATTGAGGACAGGAGAATGATCCAGCAAAATCACTCAAGTCTTGATCCCAGCTTCATTTATCAAATTTGAAACATATTGACCGTAAAGGCAAACTGATAAGCTTTGTTCAGCCTGTAAGTCCTTTATGGATTGATTAGAAATCACCAGGGCTGATTCCATCCAGACTGCAAGGTAAGTGAAACCGCTAGGAGTCGACCTCCCCCACCCCCACCCCTGCCCAGCATCTCCTTTTTGCATCGTTTTTTCCCCCCACTTGGTGGTGCCCTAAGCCCACTGGTTAAAGGTGTTAGCTCCTAATGTCACAAGAACCATTCAAGTTTGTCAACAAGCTTCCCTCGAAAGAATTAGTGGAGTCATCCTTAAACAGTGTTTCTCTCAAACACCATTTTTAGAGTGACACTGTCGGTGCACATTTTTGACTAGGGATATCAGCCTGCAAAATTCTTTCAACAGGCAGTTACCGTGAATAAAAGGGAACTTTCACTAACTCGTGGCTGATGGGAAAACTTTCCCAAAGTGGACTAACACCCAAGCATTTCTTGACCTCAGAGAGTTCATATTCTGAGTCTTTGGAACCGAAAACATATATTTTTTTGAGATTTGATTTTAAAGTAATCCCTACACCCAATGTGGGGCTCAAACTCACAACCCCAAGATCAAGAGTTGCACGCTCCACCGACTGAGCCAGCCAGGCACCCTGGAACTGAAAATATTTTTTTAAAAAAACCCTGTAATGGGAGAATATTTATAAGCAAAATAGCTTATCTGCTTCAACTAAAATACCTGACGGAACAGCCACAGAGGACATAGAAGGGGCTCCTCCCTGCAGAGGGGATCACGACTTCCCTTCTGTTTTACCTGACTGAACACCCAGCATCATGGCCACCCAGTGCTCCACCGTCAGCCTTGTGACAGAATTGTCCCTCATGATCCAGGAATCCGGGGTCTCTGAGAATACAACACAGCAGAAGGGCTCTACTTGAACCACACAGACGTAGCCATACAGGACATCTTTCTGGTACACATTCAAGATTTTGGTAGTGAAATGCACCTGTGGCTTCTCACAGCAGAAGTGGAATGTTGGCAACTTTTCTATACAGTTTTCTATTTCCTTTTTCAGCAAGTCAGGATTCACTTTTTCTTTCTTACATCCAAACACTTCTTTGCTCTTATCATCGACCCCAAAAATGAGGTATCCCCCGAGGGTGTTGGCAAATGCAGAAACATAATGAGGCAGCATTTCTTTAATCCGGGGGACAATCTTTTTGGTGGTGAACCTTTTAAACTCCACATGGGTTGACTCGGTAAAATTGAGTTTCTCCTTATACGTGAGCTTGTCCTTTTGAAACAAGTCTGAGGCAGAAATCCTCATGTCTTCCTCTTCCTGAATGTCCCTGTCAGGAACTTTCTGAGAACTCAGTTCCTTCACCCCCAAGCTCCCTCTCTGGGCTCTAGACTGCTTCTCTCTGAGGAGCTCCAGAGCACTGCCGGTGTTCAGGTTGACCGTGGAGGTCACAGCTCTCCGGTAGAGATTGGAGTGCAAGCTGCAGATCCGGAGGGGGAGGCTGAAAACATCTGGGCTCCAGGACTTCACAAAAATCAGGAGATTGTGCCCCTGCTGCATGTAGTCAAGGTATTTCTGTGAACCGGAAGGAAGGAGCTTTTGGAAAGAAGTTTCCAGATCCTGTCCCAGCCCATGGCATCGGTAACTGTAGGTTTTATCATCAATCTCTGCTTTGATTACACCCCCTCCAGAGTTTAACAGGGCACACGTGGCCTGGATGATTTTCTTATTCTCGGTTCTTTTCAGATAGCTATTGGTCATCTTCTTCCTGTTCTCTTCTCCAAAAGTCACCCTGCCCACGCGTACAACTGTCTCAGGGTAGAGCATTTCCATGTCGGTGTGGAGGCCGGCCATCCTAGCAGCCCCTCTGTGCTCCAAATGGTAACACAGAAGAGGTTCCAGTAAATAACCTGGACAGAAACGTGGTTTCTACATTAACAAGTATCCCAGAGATTACAATAATTTCTTCGAAGTCATAAATTATTGGAGATACATTTCAGTATTGGAGATAATCTCTGATATTACTGTTCTCTAACAACTTTGCAAGGCTCCAAGCCTTTCCAGCATGAACAGGCATAGATGAAGATGAATGTTTAATATTTTGCCATCATGGAAAATTACATTGCTGAAGTTTTTAGTCATTTTTTATTTAAAATCAGGAAGCGGCAACAGTGAGCCCGGATCTAAAGGGCATGGGTTGGCATGGGAGCCAAAGCAAGTTATTAGAGAATATGCAGAAACAGAGGTTGAAACCAGAAGATGCTCCTATTTATAATTCAAAGAGGAAAGGAAGGAAAGCAATAGAGAACTAAGGGAGGATAGTCCTGGAGTATATGTGAAGTAGAAGATCTTGCTATAAAAACAAACACAAAACTTGTTTTCCTTATGCCCTATTTTATACAATTAAAAAATTTTACTCCTGAAAGAATGTCTATTGATACCAAACGCAGAAATCAGTGTGGCTCCTCAACGCTTCTTCATATATGTATATATATATATTTAAGATTTTATTTATTTATTTGACAGAGAGAGACATATCGAGAGAGGGAACACAAGCAGGGGGAGTGGGAGAGGGAGAAGCAGGCTTCCCGGTAAGTAGGGAGCCTGATGCGGGGCTCCATCTTTTCTTTCCCTCCTCAATAGTTCTGCCCTGGGCCATGGGAACCTCTAAGACTTGGAAGAGAACTGAGACTTTGGGACATAGTCATTAAACTGAGGTCAATCTCCTTTTTGCTTCACAGACCAGAGAACAGCCACCCAAATTGAAATCAGGGCTCTGCAGCAAATGTTTCAGAAACAACCCCCGGAGCTTTTGTTAATTGCAAAACAAAATATTTACTAACCCAAATCAAAATTCTTCCTCTAGGAAAAGAGAGCCATTTCTTCTGTTGATTTTCGCCAAGCAGAGGCCATGTGGGTGTTCTTTGTACCCGCCAAGGGGAAAAAAGCAGGCATCCCACAGGATGGCTACCCTCCTCTGCCCTTAGTTTGCTCTTGGTTGCCTTCTCACTCCCTCCAGGCAAACCAGAATCAACCTGATGAATTGTTTTTTTTCATACAGGAGCATCTTCTCTAGGTAAATGTAAAAGTATGGCTCTTAGAGAAATTTCTGATAACATTCTATTGATATAATAGGATCACAGAAGTGTTGGAAGGAACTTTAAAGATCTTCTGGCCTAACCATTTATCTCATTCTCTTTTTAAGAATTATTTAAAGTAATTTCTATACTCAACATAGGGCTTGAACTCATGACCCCGAGATTAAGAGTCACACACTCCTCCGACTGAGCCAGCCAGGTGCCCCCATTTGTCTGATTCTTAAGTCCTCTCTATAATATTCCCAACTCCCAACAAATTGCTTTCCAGCAACTGCTTGAACACCTCCAGCAACCAGTAACTCAGTACTTCTCAAATTAGACCCTCCTATTTTCTGTCAGTTGTTAGAAATGGCTTCCTGATTTTTCAACTATAATTTGTCTCCCTAAAATTTCCACTGGCTGGGGCCCACAGAACAAATCAAACTGCTTTTGAACTAGCAGACCTATACTCTCTGGACTACCAAGTCTCATTGATGTCACTTGGATGCTGATAAGGACTATGATAGATACAAAGTTTTCTGAGATTCTAGCTCCATACAAACATCCTTTCTAAACTTCCCCAAATTTATCACCCACTGTCCTTTACAAGTTTACAAGTTAGCTACTCTTTTACTAAGCCCTTTGTGTTCTCAGACATAAATTACCCCAAAGATGAGATGGATGAGATTAAAAAAAAAAATTTTTTTTTACCTGATACTCTTGCTTTTCCTCTTGCTGTTTCAGTTCCACATCTGGCTCTGGTCTAAATATTTGCCTTCTGTCATAGCTCCTGCTGCCCTTTGATATCAGCCTGGGAGGAGCAGGGACTCTGCCAGACTCCCCTAGTCTTCATAACATTGACACACTGAGGAAGGCTGATAAGGACTCGAGAAAAGCCTATGACAGGGCAGATTAGCAAGCCAGGCTCTGACCTCTGGGAGTGAATGAAGTGGTAATGGACACATTCAGGGGTTTTAGAGTGAGAGGCCAAAGCTAAACTTCCCACCTCTGAAGAGCGGAGTGTCACGTCCACACATCTGCACTTAGGCCTCTCCAGCCCCAGGTAATGTCATTTCATCATTTCGTAGTTCTACATTTATTTTAAATTAGGCTCCCCTGTATATATCCGTTATGAGAATTACCAGCCTATTCCATTAGCCTCCAAATCACTTGTTCTATCGTATTTACCTTTACCTTCTTTTTCCTGTTCTTCCTTTTTTGTTGGGTATAAGACCCAGCCTAGAAAAATGCTCATTGGTGAGGGGCTGGCTTTTCCTGGGTGAGAAGAGTACACATGATTTTTTTATCTAATTTCTTTTCCTTTCCTTTTTGTTTTTCTTTAACTTTTTTTTGTATTCCCAAATGTGTACACTGAACATAATTGTTTTTATAATTAAAACAACCGAATTAAATGAAAACAAACAAACAGATGAGAGAGTTATCCCATTTGGGGATGCTGGTTAAATTGGAGCAAGCTTCTGGGGCGCGCGCCTGGGTGACTCAGTGGTTAAGCATCTGCCTTCGGCTCAGGTCATGATCCCGGGGGGTCCTGAGATCGAGCCCAGAGTTGGGCTCCCTGCTTGGCAGGGAGTCTGCTTCTCCTTCTCCTCCCAGCTTGTGCTCTCTCTCGTTGTCTCTGTCTGTCTCTCTCAAATAAATAAATAAATAAATAAAATCTTTAAAAATAAAATGTAAAAAAAAATTAGAGCAAGCTTCTTGTAGTAGGCTGAATAACAGCAACCAAAGATGATGATTATGAACCTGTAAGTCTTTTTTTTTTTTTAAAGATTTTATTTATTTGTTTGAGAGAGAGAGAATGAGAGATAGAGAGCACGAGAGGGAAGAGGGTCAGAGGGAGAAGCAGACTCCCTGCTGAGGCAGGGAGCCCGATGCGGGACTCGATCCAGGGACTCCAGGATCATGACCTGAGCCGAAGGCAGTCACTTAACCAACTGAGCCACCCAGGCGCCCTATGAACCTGTAAGTCTTAACTTGCAAGCAAAAGAGGTCTTTGTAAATGTGATTAAGTGAGGATCTTGAGATGAGGGAATTACCCTTGATCATTTGGGTGGACCCTACGTTCAGCTCAGTGTTCTCCTAAGACAGAGGCAGAAGGGATGTGATGCACACAAAGGAGGAGGCGGCAACGTGACCAAAGAGACAGAGAGTCCAGCGAGCGATGTGGCCACAAGAGAAGGAAGACCAGCAGCCACTGAAAGCTGCAAGAGGCGCAAAGTGGATTCTCCCCTAGAGCCTCTGGCGGGAGCACAGCCCTGCCAGCACCTTGATTTCTGCCCTGTGAAACTGATGTCAAACTTCTGGCTGTGAAAGAATACATTTCTGTTGTTTTGCGCAACCAAGCCTGTGATAATTTGTTACAACAGCCAAGGGAAACGAATATACTTCCCTCGCTCTAAATCATACCATCAAACAACTTTGTGTGTCTGTTTCGGTTTGTTTATCGCGCCGTGGCATTCTCATGTAGGTTTCTGGACGTTCCTAGTTTTTTAAATTAACTGAGGTTACTGTTCCTACCAGCTTCTGCTTTGCTGGCATTACCCTTTGTACCTGTTTGGCTGAATAGAGGTTCCAGGACACGACACAGAACAGATGCTATGATGTATCATCAGCACGGCAACATAATAAACTCCAAAGTCCTTTCGGCTTTTCACTCACTTCACCTCCAAATTCAGTCTCACTTTTAGTTCTGTCACCTGCCTTAACTCTCAGCCTCTCTCTCACACTGAAATCCTTCTGATGTTACTTATGCTTAGAAAGATAATAATGACCGTCATTTACTGGACATGTGCTTTGGGGTGCGAGGGGTCAGGAAGGGAGTGTGGCATACCACACGGAGACTAAGATTACACGGCCAGTAAGTGGAAGAGTGGGGGTTTAAAGCCAGATCTGCCTACTACAAAAGCTCATACTCCTGCTGCCTTTCAAGTCTGGGATTTGGGATTGTTTAGGAGTCTTCAAAATCAGAAATCTACCTGAACATTTCCCTTTTCCTTCCCATTGAACAAGAAGAACATTATCTGGGCAGAAAAACTAGGAACCGGATTGTCTCCTCCTCCTCCCTGCCCCCCTTCTTCTCCTCCTACTCTTCCTCTTCCTTCTTTTTCAGTGCACTTTGGGGAACCAAACTGGGAGGAGGGAAAATGTGAACAATGAGCACAGTGAGTTTCTCTTCCTTCTTCTTTGAATTTCCTTAGTTAAGCCCCCTGGATGCGAATGGTTAGGTTATCATGCCAGAGAGGATCTCACATCCTGACTCTAATAACCTCAATGCAAATGTCCATGATACAAAACAACTTGAAATCAGTAGCTTGGACAGTACTTTTTCTTAGGTCTTGGGAGATCTGGTCGTGCTGTTGCCAATTGGCTAAACACTAGAGCCTCCGATTTATTTAAGATGTGTTTATTCACTAAGCGCTTCAGTTTATCAACAGGGGTAGTTAGGACGTAGCCTTTGCACATACTAGACACAAACTGCCAAATACCGGCCTCCATCTACTCTCAGTTCATTCACAGAGATGGTTCCAAGACTATGGAGAGCACACTGACCAAGAGCAATGGTGCTGGCTCTCCCTCACCACTAACTGACTCTGGGTAAGTCTCTTAACTTTCATTCTCTCATTCAATCGGCTATTTTTTTTTTTTTTTTTTTGATCACCAAAGATGTTGAAACCCTTACTCTGACACTTACCGGCTTTGAGACCTTGGTTATGCAAATCTAAGCCTCAGATGACTTCTGTGTAAATTGGAAATGATAATAATGCCTTCTCTGTACAGTTCTTGTGAGAATGAAATGAGATGATGTACATAAAGAGCTTAGTGTGGTGCCTGGCATTTAATGGCAATTTTTCATTTGATAAGCAATTATGAAGCACTTGCTGTGTTCTGTACGTGACACTATGCTCTGGGGCTACACATCACAATAAAACCTGCCATTTAGTGACTGCATTCTTTGGGCCAGATTTGTAGCTGTGATTGTCTCAAATTGTCCCCATAACAACTTGTAAGACATGCATTATTTTCACCATCTTATAAATGAACAAACTGAATTCAGGGAAGTAAAGCTCAAGACTACACACCTAGTAAGTAACAGAGCTGGGATTTGAACCCCTGTCGATCTAATTCCAAATCTCATTTACCATCACTCTGCTATGCAGCCTTACTGTTAGCCAGAATGAGACACATGTCCTGCTCACAATCTAGAGAGGGAAAACATGTATTAACTCATTGCAGTGTGACATATATAATAACATCAGGTGAGTACTCTATGTGCCATGCATTCTCTATGTGCTCATTCAACTCTTAGAACAGCTTGCAAATGTAGTCCACATGCATGGCCACTATACCCTAGTGCCACTCTGGAGCACTAACAACAGATGAACAGGGTGCTCCAGGTGTTCTGAGGAGTGACAATAACTATGCGTGTGAGAATAAGATTTCATAAATGTGATGGTATGTGGGCTGGAACCCGCAAGTAAGAATGTACCTGGTTGAGGGTGCCTGGGGGGTTCAGTTGGCTAAGCGACTGCCTTCGGCTCAGGTCACGATCCTGGAGTCCCGGGATCGAGTCCCACATCGGGCTCCCTGCTCAGCAGGGAGTCTGCTTCTCCCTCTGACCCTCTTCCCTCTCGTGCTCTCTATCTCTCATTCTCTCTCTCTCAAATAAATAAATAAAATCTTAAAAAAAAAAAAAAGAATGTACCTGGTTGAGAGGGAGAGATGGGGAAGGAAGGGAAAACCAGGGAGAAAAAAATAGCAAATGCAAAGACCATTATCTTCACTGTCTAACCTCCCATGTCTCTAAAGTACAATGGAAATCCTTTATAGGTCTGCTACAGAAGACGCTCCATTTTTCTCCATTCTTCTCTTGTATTTCTTCATGTCCTTTGTGAAAGAATTGCATCTAAAATGGAACGGGAAGATATAAAATGAAGAATCTCACACGTGTGCCTTCAGGAAAATAAAACTTAAGGACTGAGAAACTCATTTCCCATAGATGTGTGGTTTACAGAAAACTGATATTGGAATTTTCTTCAATGATAGGGAGTTGGTCAGGGGTTGCCTCATATCAACCTTAGGAAGTTTTGCTTGTGGTTTCCAGAGGTCTGAACAAGAAATGACCCAGGTGGGGTTGGCCTTGTAAAATGAGCTGGATTGAGTTTTGTTTGTATGACCAGACTGGTTTTGTCTGCTTGGTGAGTTTTCAAAGCTGGTCTCCCTTTGTTTTTTATTTTAACAGACTCTAACTGAGCTCTCTCTTCCTTGCATTCCCTGCCCATAAATACAGCCTACCCCAAACCCTCAAGGGACTCACTGTAGTTTGCTACAGTTTGGGTGTCTTGAACTGCAACTCCTCTGCTATTCCTGAATAAACTCATCTTTTTGACAATTTTGACCTTGCCTCAGTTTCCCTATTTAGGTTGACACCTTCTACCCATCCCTAGCTGACACTCATCACATTCCTCACCTGCCTTTCATAGGCCACCTAGCTCTCAACCTAGATCATTGCAATCACCTGCAATAGCTCCCGTTCTTCCATTTTGCTTCCTTTGATCTATTTAAAAACACAGTTGCATATAATTTCCTAAAGCAGAGCTCTGACCACCGATCTCCTCTGACTCTGAAATCTTCAAATCTCCCATTTCCACCAGAGTAATCTACACAGCCAGCAAGCCACCATCCTTGACAAAGTCCTGATTTGTCTTTCAAATCTCCTACCACCCCCTTTCTTTTTTTTTTAATTTTTTTATTGTTATGTTAATCACCATATATTACATCATTAGTTTTTGATGCAGTGTTCCATGATTCATTGTTTGTTCATAACACCCAGTGCACCATGCAAAACGTGCCCTCCTCAATACCTATCACCAGGCTAACCCATCCCCCCACCCCCCTACCCTCTAGAACCCTCAGTTTTTCAGAGTCCATCATCTCTCATGGTTTGTCTCCCCCTCTGACATACTCCCCTTTTCTTCCTCTCCTGTTATCTTCTTCTTTTCCTTTTTTCTTAAAATATGTTGCGTTATTTGTTTCAGAAGTACAGATCTGTGATTCAACAGTCTTGCACAATTCACAGCGCTCACCGTAGCACATACCCACCCCAATGTCTATCACCCAGCCATCCCATCCCTCCCACCCCCAACCACTCCAGTAACACTCAGTTTGTTTCCTGAGATTAAGAATTCCTCATATCAGTGAGGTCATGTGATACATGTCTTTCTCTGATTGACTTATTTCACTCAGCATAACACCCTCCAGTTCCATCCACGTCGTTGCAAATGGCAAGATCTCATTCCTTTTGATGGCTGCATAATATTCCATTGTGTATATATACCACAACTTCTTTATCCATTCATCTGTCGATGGGCATCTTGGCTCTTTCCACAGTTTGGCTATTGTGGACATTGCTGCTATAAACATTGGGGTACATGTACCCCTTCGGGTCCCTACATTTGTATCTTTGTGGTAAATACCCAGTAGTGCAATTGCTGGATCGAACGGTAGCTCTAATTTCAACTGTTTGAGAAACCTCCATACTGTTTTCCAGAGGGGTTGCACCAGCTTGCATTCCCACCAACAGTGTAGGAGGGTTCCCCTTTCTCCACATCCCCGCCAACATCTGTCGTTCCCTGACTTGTTAATTTTAGCCATTCTGACGCCACCCCCTTTCTTTAACACTAATAGTGGTCCTCAGACTTCGGTGTAAATCAGAATCATCCCTGGGACATCTCTTTTTTTTTTTTTTTTTTAAAGATTTTATTTATTTATTTGAGAGAGAGAATGAGAGATAGAGAGCATGAGAGGGAAGAGGGTCAGAGGGAGAAGCAGACTCCCCGCCGAGCAGGGAGCCCGATGCGGGACTCGATTCCGGGACTCCAGGATCATGACCTGAGCCGAAGGCAGTCGCTCAACCAACTGAGCCACCCAGGCGCCCTCCCTGGGGCATCTCTTAAAAATACATCTGCCTGGGGTCCAAACCCAGAATATCTGATTCAGTATGTCTGAGCTGTGCCCCTGGCATTTTTGGGTTTTTGTTGTCTTTGATGCTAGAGGACACATACATTGTTAAATTTCCTCCTGGTGTTTCTAACTCACCGAAGTTTGAAACACACTTTTTCGACTTTCCCTAAATTTGTAAGTTCCCCACTCTTTCCCATTTAATTCGGGCGTTAAATTATTCCTTCTTCCAGAATCTCCTGATTTTTAAAACCTATTCATCTTTCAAGACTCAGATCAAATGCCACCTCTCCCAGGAAGTCTTTCCTGCGCATTTCTTTGGTATTTAGCTGCACTTTTCTTGCGGCACCTCCTGCTTATTTAGGAAGCGTCCAAGCGCCCGGCCAGCCAAAGAGTTCCCTGGACCGAGAGGGACATATTCCTCCACCGTACACCCTAATCCCTAGCCCTCCCGCGGGAATAGAACACGCGCAGTAAATCCCGTTGGATCACTATCTGAATCGGTAATTCTTCCCGGAAAGCCAAGGCACAACTCTCTCGGATGCCCTTTGCAGTTGTGAAGCAAAGCGCCGGCAACGGGCCACACACGTCCCAGGTCCAAGGGAGGGAGCTTGGAGGCAGGCAGGAGCCGCTCAGAGCCTGGAAACCAACTAGCCTGTGGACAAAGACCCCACGCGAGGAAGCAACGCGAAAGGCCCTTCCGCCTCCCGGCCCGTTCCACCCCCTGATGTCAGCCTCGCCCTCCGATTGGCTGCTCCTCTCACCCCTCCCGACAAAGGCTGTTGCCCACGTGACCCGCTGGCGGCCGTAGGATTGGTTGCTCCATGAGGGCTTTACTGGGCTAGCGGACGCCGGCGGGGCAGCAAGGCCGAGGCCAGCGAGAAGCGGGAAGCGGGAAGCAGGACCGGGACCGGGTGTAGCCGGGGACCAAAAGGCCGAGGGTCGGCTTGCCATCAGTGTTTGCAGGCCTCCTGAGATAGGGCGAAGGAGCTTGAGGAGTTCAGAAAGCGGGCTGTGGACTCCTGTCTGGGACTTTGGTTTATGCCCTGGCTTCGGCCTTACTCGTATTTCCCCGCAAGAACGGCTCCTCTCAGTCTTTGCTGAAGTTGGGGGTTGGACTTTATTATCATTATTTTGTTGAGGGTCCACTGTATGTAAGCACTGGGTGTCCTGCGCCGGGCGCTGTGGGGACAGCCATGAGGTAGAAGCTTGGGGAGGGAGGGCTTAGAGATGCTTGAGGTATGTTCCTTACCCACCTGCAGTGTTGGAGGTAAGTTGGCTTTATTTTTGTGCTGATATTATAGTCGAGGAAGGTAAGGTTTAGGAGGGAGGGTCGCCCATTGGCTGAATTAAACATTCATTTATTGACCTTCGTCCTCCGTACCAGGCACCGTTCTGAGTGTAACGGATGCAAAGGCCAGTAGGACACGGCCCTGGTTCTGTAGGAACTCAGTGTCGTGGGGCTGGTGGGATAGACGGGGTGTGGGGGATGTGCATGGGTGAATAAGTGACGTGTGATGCGTGCTGTGGTGGGGAGAAGAGGTGTGGGAGTCAGAAGAGAGGACGACTGGGGGTTAGAGACCACTCTACTGAGAAGGCGACGTTTGAGTAGGGTTATATAATTTAGGCGTTCTCCATATGGCAAGGGTTGGGGGAGGCACTCCAGCTGGAGCAGAGTGTGCTGAGGAAGAGAACTAGGGATGTGTGCTTGCTGTGTATGGTGGGAGCTCACTTGGAGCTCTGCTTTTAGACAGTTTCATGCTTTTAGACAAAGTTAAGTTTCTCTCAGCCTCTGTTTTCTTCTTTTTTTTTTTTTAAGATTTTATTTATTTATTTGACGGAGAGCACAAGCAGGGGGAAGGCAGGGAGAGGGAGAAGCAGGCGCCCACTGAGCAGAGAGCCCAACGTCGGGCTCGATCCCAGGACCCTGGGATCATGACCTGAGCCGAAGGCAGACGCTTATCCGTCTGAGCCACCCAAGTGCCCCTGTTTTCCTCATTTATAACATGTACTTCACCTGTAGAGAGTGATGAGCTAACGGATCAATCATAACCCCTGTAAAACAGGCACTTTGTTAGTTTCTCTCTTTTTATGGAGTTTAGTTGCTGAATGGCCAACACAGAACAACAGCTGCCAGTTTTTAACTAAGGAGTATCGATCTATTGACATTTATAGATGGCTGAAGGAAGCACATGCTGTCTCCAGAATTGTTACTTAGATACAGACAATACCATGCTGATAGGCTGGGGAGGATGACATTGTGACCTAAGTACTTTTCCATGTTGGTGATAGCATACCACCAGAGAGTGTCATTTAGAATAAATGAAATGCAGTCAACTTTCTTATTCAGAAATCGATTATCCAGGTTGTGAATTATCTAGACTTTTGCATTACCTTTTTTTTTTTTTTTAAGATTTTACATAACCTCCACACCCAACGTGGGGATCAAACTCACAGCCCTAAGATCAAGAGCCCCATGCTCCACTGACTGAGCCAGCCAGGCGCCCCTGCATTGCTTCTGTTATGTTGCCAATGGTCTGGAGAAAAATGAAAGTAAACCTCATATTTAGCTGGTAGTGGAAAAATATAAATCTGGTATTCAGACCTCTGTTCTCTTTCCAGCTCTACTGTAAATTTGCTGTGGACCTTTGGCAACACATAGCCTCTCTGGGTCTAGCACTCTTAAAGATAGAAGATTCCAGTATAAAAACTTTATGACTATACTTTTTATCTTTATTGGCAGAATTGTAAATCAAATTGTATATTAAATGAACAGGAGTTTATAATGGAATTTAGTAGAAAATCTTTTCTAAAGCTTTTGCTTTAGAATTAGACTATAAATCCCTTCACAGACATCTCTGGAATTTTGTCATGCATGATGTTGGGATCTTTAAAAAAAGAAGTTTTTGAACCATAAATGCTTCTCCATTCCTGTATTTCAAAAACAAGCTCCTCCAAACCAAAACTTGTTCAAGTTTGCTTTCTTGTACAGCCGAGTCTTTAAAGCAAGCATAGTGGAAAATGAACTGCTTATTGAAAGTCCATGGTTGAAACTTAACTATATAGAAGCCTTTATTTTTTTCATAGGTTAACCTAAGTCTTCTTGGATGTGAAAATAATGTTGGACTGCGCTTAGGTATATAAGGATGTGAAATGCAATGATGCGATGATGAGTGAAGTATAGTCTGACCTGGTATTGCCATTGCCTCAGTTCTGGCTCTGACCAGGGTATGATTCCTTAATCTTCTCTCTGAGCTGATTCTGGTTGTGGTTTTCCCAGATTGGAATGTTCTCATGTATTTGGATACTGATTTTATTATGTATAAGAGTGTTTCTTTTATAGTCTTTTGAGTTGCTGATACTTTCATGTTTTCCTTCTTAGGTTGAGGTGAAAAATCTGGCTTTGATATCTTCGTGGAGGACTACCTTATTTCAATCCTGAATCTGGTTCAGTTTTCTTATTGACTTATTACTGTATTAAAAATGTTTGTTTAATTAACTATGGTGTTTTGGTAAAATCTTGCAATTTAACCAGAACTTTAACAAATATCCATTATATTCTTCTTATGGTACAGAAAAATGTTAATATTTTCAAATCCATGGGTTATTCCATTTCAAAGTTTAATTTTATCAACTTTACGCTATCAGAAAATATGCTTTCAATTGCTAAATGAGTTAAAGTATTAGAAAACACCTGTCTCAGCAGAGGCACTTATTTTCATCCTTCCTCTACCCATATATTTTCACCAACCTGACAATCCAGTGGCATGAATTTTGCTACATAAGCACCTTAAATGTTCCTGTAGTATTTCTAATACAGGGTCTTTCACACAAAGCTGAATTCTTGCTGTTGCAGTAGAGGTTTTTTCCTCCAAGTATTGGATTAGCAAAAAAAAAGCGAAATGTCAATACAAAAATACCTCAAAGTCAAAGGTGGTCTGAATGAAAAATGTACTTTAAACACCTCAAGTAATTTTTTTTTAAGATTTATTTATTAGAGAGTGAGGGCAAACCGGGGGAGGGGCAGAGGGAGAGGGAGAATCCCAGAACGACTCCACGCTGAGCGGTCGAGCCCACCGTGTGGCTTGATCTCATGACCCTGAGATCATGACCTGAGCCGAAACCAAGGTTGGACACTGCTTAACCAGCTGAGCCACCCAGGCACCTCCACCTCAAGTAATCTTTGTTTCCACTTAATCATGACAACTTGGAATGACTCTTTGCCAAAAACATTTATTCTTAAAATTTACTTAAGCGTTTCATAGAAACTTAGTAATAGCCAGAATAATTCGTGCCCATTTAGCAAACTCTTAACAGCAAGAAAAGCTTATTAAGATTCTTTTGCACAAAGTTAAATCAGTATATTATGTCATCTCTTGCTTATTTGTTTTGGTTTCACACTGATATCTTCAGACTGCTCTATATATACGTTCAACCCCTATTTTTCTTTAACCAGTTGCCCAAGAAAAGATAAGTATGGCTCATAAAGGAATCTTACTTAAAAGCTGATACACTATAGCAGATGCTACTTAACAAGTGGCTCACAGTATATGGAAGGTGCTTTGTTTTTCTAAACTGTTTCTAAGTATTTCTGTAAAGAGCAGGTCCATATTTCACATTGTTTGCAAACTGATAAAGTTCTTCCTCATAGGCAGATAAATGCTTTCTTTTCTCAAGAAAAGGGCTGCTTCCCCATCACCCACTTTTATAAGGTCTAACTTGGGTTTTTCCTGAGAGCTTCTATACCTCTTGTTCTTCAAGGAAAAGCTTCTGTACTATCTTATTTCATCCACTTCGTCTACACTGACCTTCATGTCCCCTGTCAATCCTGATTCTCTTATTCTAACCAGCTTGCTAAACTCTTAAGTAGGAGTCTAGAGAGCAAGTTAAAAGGTTTAGATCAATGGATATATCCTCTTAAAGAATCCATATACAGCTGACCCTTGAACACAGATTTGAATTGTGTGGGTCCACTTATATATGGATTTTTTTTTACAGTACAGTACTATAAATTTTCTGTTACTTTAATTTTTCCTTAGCTTTACTGCAAGAATACAGTATATAATCTAACATACAGAATATGTGTTAACTGATTGTTGATGTTAGCAGTAAGGCTTCCGGTCAATAGTAGGCTATTAGTAGTTAAGTTTTGGGGGAGTCAAAAGTTATATGTGAATTTTCTACTGGGGGGGTGGTGTTGGCACCGTTAACACACATGTCATTCAAGGTCAACTCTAGTTGTGTAAAGTTCATATAATTACGAATTGGGGATGAGAAGACTCAAATAGTGCCATGTACTGTGCTGAAAATCAGTTTCTCAGCCTTATAGTGCAATAATTTTGTTGTGAGATAAAATGCTAATCCCTTTCAGTTCTCAGGGGAGTACAGTTTAATTAGATGTTGCACTTCTGTTGGATAACCTGTTATGGGACAAGCTTGGTGACTCCTTACATAATTAAATACACAGCGATAACAAAACACATAGCCAGAGGTGGCAAGAACAGTATCATTCACCCGGGTTTTGCGACACAATGGGCACACAGTCTTCATTTTGGGTAACAGAGGAGAATCGGAATTGTAATCTAGGTGTACAGGTGGTGGTGGAGTAGGCAGGGCAGTCAGTGATTTGATGGTTTCTTGATTTTCAGATGAGTACCACCACTCAAGGAACTGCAAAAAGAATACTCCCACAGAAAGGCCAGTAGAGAGGGATAAGGCAGCACCTCCCAAAGCTTTCTTCAGAGCTGATTTTATCTTCTCACCAACACTGGTAGGGGAATAGAACAAGGAGGCAAAGGAGAAACTGTTTATTTAGGTATGATCACAGAATGACTAATACAAATGTACCTCTTAAACTTTTCATCAGAATCACTGATTCAGTTTGGAGACTGAGTAGTTGCTAGATTGGCATTGTCTCCTTTAGTATCTATTCTAAACTCTTTCCTTTTTCTGACCTACAGTATTTTGGGAGTATAGGAGCTAAACTTTGTATTTAATGACGAGGGTTTTGTTTTTGCATTTTGAGAAACTAGTGAGACGTTGATAAATGTGTGTTTGTGTGTGTAAGATAGTAAGTCCGGAAAAAAAGACAACTCACTTAACAAAAAATAGCAATATTGAGGAATATATTTTTGAACTTGTAGGAGAACACAAACATTAACTAGAAAGTCTTGAACTGTTGATCTGGCTCGAATCTCAGTTCTGCCACCTTCTAGCTGTGTGGTCTTGGCAAGGTACTTAGCTATTAGGTCTTAGTTTCCTCAGGTGTTAAACAAGGTAATGAATTTATTTCACTGAGTTGTGAGGAGGATTGGGATAATGTATGTAAAGCAGACAGCAAGCATGCATAAAAATGCAGCTAGTGTGATAAGGAAGGTTACCAGGATGGCAACTCTTGTTTTACGGACACAAGAATTTTTCTGTGATTTATGAAATACCTCAAAGTACACTGAGGAAGGTGAGTTTCATAAAATTAGGTTAAGATTTTAGAATTTCTTTGTGAAAGATTTTGGGAAATGTTAAAGCCTTACCTCCTGGCTGGTTGCTGCATCATGCTGGCTTCAGCTGCTTTGTGCTCCAGAGCTTGTATATCCTGAATTGTAAGTCGACCTAGCCGAACTCCAGCCAGCCTCAGCAATGGTGAGTGATGCTGAGCCTTTCCTAGGATGTATCGAAGTTGTTGTACAAAAAACCAGCCTTCCCATGCCATGTTAACAAATGGGTAGGCTGCCAGGAAGGCTCTATAAAACTGTTTCCAGCGGGAAGAAGGGGGGTGGATAGAATATTCATCCTCTTCTCTCAGGCTAGATACCAGCTTCTCCAGCTTCACTTTCAGGTAGGGAAGAAGAACCAGGAGCATAATTGACTTCCAAAGCTGCTTCTTTGGGAGACCAGCACTGGCCAATCTCTCAGGCTTGTGTGTGTCCCCCATTACAATGCGCTTTAAGCCATAAAAATTTTCAGAAAATGAGGCACTGGTTTTAGACAGATAATGCTGCTGGAGCAAAAGATCTAGCAGGGTGAAGATTTCATCAAACCACCTCCAAAAGAAGCCATAGTGGGCAGGATTTGATTCTGCGAGAACCTAAAGCAGAGTAAATTAATAAATGAATTTCATTCCATTTAATAATTACTATGCATTGTATTCACATTTCCTTTTTTTTCCTCTGAATTCTGATACATTCGGTTTAAACTAGTCACTTCTTTTGGGGGTCTGCCCTGTCCTCCCTGAAGTGCTGGGTATTCAGTACAGGGCTTTATACATAACAGGGACTCAATAACTGTTAAATCATAGGATATGAATTATACGCTAATTGGCAATTTCAAAGCCTAGGCAACCAAATAAACTCAAATTATTGGTTTGGTTTTTACCCAGTCGTCCCTAAAACCTTTCCGAGAATTAATACCTTACCTTGACCACATGCTGAAGAGCAGGTCTCACGGCTGTCATTAAACTGTCCTGTGCTACCACCTCAAAGATGGATGGCTGGTCATCCGCCACAGAAGCAGTTGTGATGTGAGCCCCATGTTCAGCCATAGTTTCCTGTGTGCACTGGGTTTCGCTTTGCCCACAAACTCTTTAGTAAGCATGAACTTGTTTTAGTTATCAAACGGGTGCTCAGTCTTAAAGGTAATCTTTCTGCAAGAGACCCAAAACTCCTCTTTTACAGAACTGGGGGCGGGGGGCGGGTGAAGACCTCTTCTGGAGCCGGGGGCGGGGGGTGTCTTAAATTAAGGCGGTTAAGAACGAAATTAAGGCAGACGTGGCAGAAATTAAGGTGAAAGTGGTAATGTGGGGTAGGGGTGATTTATCAAATGCACCTGCAAGGGCAGAGCATACCTATGGGGCACAGGTATGGGCGAAGGAGTGCTCCCTTCAGGAGCTGTAGTCCGGGAGGCTACGAATCGGGATCTCAATCGTGAGGGCTTAAAAGCCAGCCAGCTTTGAGGTGCTAGAGGTGCCAGTGCGGACCCGGTACGCGAGGACTGGCTCCAGCTGTTGGCTGCCAAGTGTCCGCGCCTATCTTTTAGCGCGGACCCCGGGCGAGGCGTGAAGGACCCACGACGCCACGTTTGGAGAGGCCTCCGCTTTATGACAGAAGCCGCACCCGGAAATAGAAGCGGCCGGGGATTGGGACGGCCGACGGAGGGGAGGCGCTCTAGCCCCGTACGTGGCCGGGGAACCGGAACTAGCGAACTCTATGATCCCACTGGGACTTCCGCTTCCACTCCCGCTGAAATAAGTCACTGGGGGCCTGGCTTAAAGTGTAAACCTGTGCTCGTTTCTTAGGCTTTGCTTAGCTGGTTTTGCTTCGCATCGTCTGTGGGAAGCCATAACTCTGAATCTCCCTCTGCAGAGGTCTTTTTGGCAAGGTGTTTGGGGCGCCGCGGCGACGTCTGACACCGGAGCCAAGAGTTGGGGCCTGCTGCTGAGGCCTGTGTTCCCTTGGGCGATTTAGTTAGGGGTCGGGGGGGACAAAAGACAATATGGAAGTACGG